TTCCTCCCCCCACACCTCCGGGGCCCGGGGCGTCGGGAATGAGGCCCCGGGGCTGCAGCGCCGGCCCGTGGAGCTCCCGAGCCCGCGGCCCGGGCGGAACCTGGAACTGGCTTTGCGGCCTCGAGTGGGCCACCCGGGCCCGACCCCCTCCCCAGACACGGCCTTAGCTCGCCGGGGCTCCCTCCTCGCTGGCCACCCGAGTTTCCGCACTGCCCACCCCCCCGCTAGAACCTTCCGTTGCTCCCCGCTGCCCTCCGCAGCCGCCCCTTCCTTCGGCCTCTCCCACATGGTGGGCAGAGGTCACGGGATGACCTTCCAGACGCATGTCCTGGGCGGGCTGTGAGCCAGGGGGGCCCGCCTGCACCCCGGCGCCTGGCCCAGGGAGGCGAATGCTGGTGGGTTCTAGCTGTAGGTTTCCCCTCGGGTCAGGACCCCGCAGCTCTAGCGCCTGCTGCGTGTGAGCTCTGCGTGAGTCCTCGGTGCTGCTGAAGCGCGGTGCAGGACAGAGCAGAGCCCTGTGCAGGCGCCGGGTCCCTGTCTGCAGCTGCGGAGGCGCTCACCTGTCTCGGGGGTTACCGGCAGCTCCTGCGGGCCAGGGGCGGGCTGTGCAAGGGGCCTGGGCCTCCTGAGCCTCATGGACCTGGAGAGAGGGAAGCTGAGAAAGCCCCCGCAACCGGAGAGGAGCCTGCGGGCGTCCTCCCGCTCACTGTGAGCCTGGCAAGGTCAGGAGCCAGGCGCTGGGAGGAGAGCTGGGTACAAGCCTTGCTTCTGCGGAGTGACTCGGGCAGTGATGTGGTCACTGTCTCCTTTCTTCCCAAGTGGGGGAATGTTCTGACTTTGTTAAATTAACATTTGGTAAGTGGGGGACAGGGTGCTGGAGAGTGAGCAAGGTGGGCAGCCGGCGGGGAGAGGAATCGAAATAGGGAAAGTGATTACTCACGGGTCCTGGAGGACGCACAGGGCTCCACCCGAGGGGCCACAGGGCGGTCAAGGCAGAGTGCAGACGGGGAGGCAGGGCCCTTAACGCCTGTGGGTGGAGTGCTTTGGGGTTCCTGGGCTAGGGCTGGATTGGTCGATTCAAACCAAAAGAGGAGAGTTTTGGGAAGCCCCAGGGGGGGTCTTATCTAAGGGCTGCATAAGACATGGGGGGGGGCAGGGGAGACTTGGTCCCAAGGGCTGCTGGAGAAGTCCTATCAGGAGCTTACATTTGCTGTGACTGGGCTGCCGCCTGGGGCATGCGCGGGTGTGAAGGGGCTGGTGTCAGTTTGAGGTGTGCAGGCTGCTTGGCCAAACAGAACGGAGGTGGAGGCAGCAATACTGTGGAGTAGCTGAGCCAGACTCCGGACAGGGAAGCAACACGTGAGGTTCCCACGCGGGCCCAGGGCCCAGCCCTGACGAGGTGCCTGTTGGGGGCTTTCTTTGATTCTGTAATTGTTTACTTGGCATCCATTCCTCACAGTTAATCATATTATTTTCTTATCTTTTGTGTCCTTGATGCTCTTGCCTTTGGGCCCTTACAGACTGGCGGGGAACTGCCCCTCCTGCGCCAGCCAGTTCTTAGGTGCAGCAAACGGAGCCCCTCGTTCATATACAATCACCCCCCT